TAGACTTCTGTTCTATTTAAATGCCATAGACCTCATACCAAAATTCCAATTTGGGTTTAGATGTAATCATTCTACGGTTCAACAATTATTTAGAATAACTGAACATATCAATACCGGATTTGAAAAACATTGTCATACCGGAGCTGTTTTTATAGATATATCAAAAGCATTCGACAAAGTTTGGCACGAGGGCCTGCTGTTTAAACTCAAATCCATAAATACTCCATCTTACTTGTTTAATATTATAAACTCATTTCTAATTAACAGGCAGTTTGCCGTTAAAATAAATGATAATACCTCTAATCTTATGCCTATATCTGCTGGTGTACCTCAGGGCTCTAAGCTTGGTCCCATACTTTTCAACATCTACGTATATGATATCCCTCAGTCACCTCGTACGAACATCGCCCTCTTTGCAGATGATACTACAATTTTCACCGAATCACGTAACATAGAAGCAGTAGCCACAAATCTACAAGTACATCTTAATACAATATCTTATTGGTGTAATAAATGGCGTATCCAAATAAATGCGTCAAAAAGTATAGGTGTTATTTTCAGTCTTCGTCCTTACCACCCCCCTGCACAACTAATTTTTAACAATGTAAATATACCTTGGAACTCGTCAGTGAAGTACCTTGGCTTGATATTGGATAAACGGCTAACTTGGCAGCCCCATATCTCATCCAAACTACAACAGGCTTATCAGCGCCTTTCTATGTTATACCCTATCCTCAATAAAAAATCTTCAATACAGAAAAAATGCTCTCTTCTTATATACAAGCAAATCTTACGTCCAATACTCACTTACGCATGTCCGGTCTGGGGGAAATGCGCGACCACCCACGTCAGAAAAATTCAAATTTTTCAAAATAAAGTGCTACGTATTATAACAAACGCACCTTGGTTTATAAGGAACGTAAACCTACATAAAGATCTTCAGGTCCAGGAAATCGTAGACCACATAAAAACGTCTTCCAAAAACTTCCATACCACTCTGCTCAACTCCTCTGGCTCACTTCACTATAACCTCCACGTACATCCGCCTCAACGTAGATTAAAACGTGGACGTCCGCATGACCTTCTGGTTTAACAACTATATACAAATACACAATATACATTAGCTAAAATATAAGTTAACATGCATATATCTATACTATATTATTCTATATTATGTTATATTATACTTTTATTATTAATTATTATTGTATCAGTCACTGTTACTTAATTTTAGTCAGCTACGACTCAGCGTAACTACCACCAATGTTACTATTATATTATTATATTCAATATTGTACATATAGTATATATTAGTTAGTAATTTATATCTTACTAACTATTCTATTTTTATTATTCTAAATAATTATCATGTTAAAATTGTTAAAAATTGTACCATTGTAATCATCAATAGATGTAGATAGCCAAGGCTAGGAACATCTTATTTTAAATTAATAAAAAAAAAAAAAAAAAAAAAATTCATGTTATTATACGGGTAATTAGCTAATCTGAAATTTTATAAATATATATTATTTTTAATAGCAATACCTATTTTAAACACCAAATTCGGCATATTTTCGGATAGGCATATTATTTTAGGGTAATTTTGTCAATTTTGATAAATCAACAATGGTTCTAAATTAAAAACCGACTGATTAAAAGCCATTTAAATTTTAATAAATAATACTTTTTACGATTCATTAATCTGGATAAATCTATTAATTATTTATTATTGGATACTTTTTGAATATTTATTTATTTTTTTTTTTTATAAACTATTTGGAAACAATGGCTATTATAGTACAGCGATATCTAACGGTTTAATAGGGCTGTAAATTATCGTTAAATTAGAACTAATGATCATCCACTCTATTATGTGATAATACTTGTAGAATGTTAAACATAGATATAATTATTTGATCTCCCCTTAAATAGGAGGTTGCTTAGAGTCGCAATTAAGTGCGGCACCGCAGTGGAAAGTGGATCAATGAGTGTATGGTTTCCAGTAAGGTAAATAAAACAAAAAATAAAAACTATAGAATACAAAACAAAATCTAACCTATAACTCTAATTCTAGATTATGATATGATGTTTTTTCAGACTTTCCGATAATAATTTTATTTGCAAATGAATTTTTTGAATTTAAAAATTGTATACATGATATTTAATTATAAAATAATTGTTATAATTTTAATGGATTTTGATGGAAAAAAAAACGTATAAATATTCAAAAAGTACCTAACAAATAATAAATTATTATAAATGGTTTTTATGAATCATAAAAATATATTATTTATTAAAATTGAAATTATTTTTATTTAGTCAATTTTTAATTTGGAATCATAGTTGATACATCAAAATAACCTTAAAAAATACGCTCTATGAAAATTATCTAAAACAGTCCCACGGGGAAATAATAAAATGTATAATTGATTATGCTGTAGTTGATTGTACTACTTTCGTGAATATAAATTTTATATTGTTACACGCATCTACAAATATATATTTTTTATTGTTACTCGTTTTTAATGATCCTAGATATTTAAATGCATTCTGTCCAAAGGTCTTTCAATAATTGGAATTGGGTTTAATTGACCTATTGGTTTACCACTTAATCTCTTATTTATTTGACAATTATGACATGATTTTATAAAATTAATACCTAGTATCTATCTCTGTTCAATATATTTGTATTATTTACTTATTATTCTCAATACAACTTCTTTATTTATTCATACAATTCTCATTACACAAATTAAACTCTTTTACTTTTGCTATTTTTATTTATTCAATAATTATTTATTTTCATATAACATTTATTTATCAAATTAACATATTTAATCAAAACTAAATATAATTTAATAGTTTTTCATACAGACTTTAAACAGCATATATTTCTCAAGAAATCACAAATATCTTTTATAAATATCTCGATTTACATAAATCATTTAAATAATCTTTTTCACTTTCAATCAACAATAAAAATTATTTTTTAAATTTTTAAATCTCATAGTTAGCTTATTAAAATGTATTTAAATAATTTCAATATAAATCTAATTAATTCAATATAGGTATTTTTTATCCTTTTATAATTGTATAAAAAAAAAAACTTAAAAATAATTAATACACTAAATGAGATTGTTAATTAAATGAAAGTTTACAAATCTACTGAGTTCAAATTTTTGCTTAATTTTTTTCGAACTGGTAACAATAAATTTCGATTTTCCCAGAATCATTAAATTGAAGTGCGCATTCCTCGGCTCACCGGTCAACGATAATATATATCAATGAATTACCTCTATTTACTGAAGTATAAATGTTTTGGGGGTACCTTTACTTAAACTATTAGCAGAGTTGTGAGGGCGCGGTCCAATGACCAAACTAAGTCCTATAAGCTGGGATGTTAGACTAATTCTATAATTCTACAGCGTACCTATAGACTCGTGTTTATTTGAAGTCTCGCTGAGGTACACGGTAGACGCTATAAGATTTGGATATTAAATGCGACTGACCATATGTTATTGTACAATATCCTCTGTCTTCTTTATGAATAAACTTGTTATATTGAGTATGATAACTCTTAGAATTAATTAGAGGATTTATCGTTATCACTTAATATTAATTTCAGAAACTTTTTACGAAGTTCATTTCATCACCTAAATCTATTAACATTTTAATTTTACCTACTAAATATAAAACTACTTTTTAAACGCGCATAAAATGTTGGTCGTGCCTTGGCCAATTTTATTACTATTTGTACGTGATTTGGATTTCGTAGTCTGTACATCTTGTATAACTGGTATTAAGACTCACATTTTTATTTTTGTAATTTTTTTTGGATAGGTAATTATATTTTCCTTACATAAATTTTATATTTCACAATAAGTTTTCACTTTTTGAGCAATAATGACACAATTGAACTTGTTTCTATTACTCTTGTTTACATTATACGAGTACGGCTCATTTCGCCCAATACCATTTTAGTCGTTTTAAAACTAAGTTGGTAAACATTTATAATATACCATAATTTTTTACTAAATTTTTGTGAAAAGTCATTGCAAAAGTTTTTAAAAAATTTATAATTATCTCTCAAATAGTATCAGTTTTTGTTATTTTCAAAAAGTATACCTATTTTTACGGCCAAACGAGTGAAATTTTACTCGTGCGTCGTTTGATCATCTGTGAGCAGTGTGAGCTGGGTTCCTGTATGGGTATTTATAATCTCGGTTTTACATAGTTATATTACTCTATACGATAACCATTAACTATTTATTTATAATTTAATCTAGGTTAATCATAAGTTTAAGTTGTAGGTTTATAAAATTATACGAACCCTCCTATAATTAGTTTTGAGGTGTAACTCAGAAAACGGATCGATCAGTGACCAAACAGTTTTGTATAATATTTTGTTTCTCGGAAATATGGTCAACGCCATCTCTAACAGTTCTCCAATACTAACGTGGAAATATATTTACGCAACCACCGTCGGATAGCGCTATGTTTATTGTCAGGCAGCTCTGCTGGTGGTGTTAAATTATTATTTTGAAAGTGGATTGATATTATTAATATTCAATCCACCCCAATTATATTTTGGGAACCTGGTCCTTATCAAGCACTAGCATCTGCTGTTACCGACTGTAGTAAGTCGTAATTGTCAACTTAATATCAGTAAAAATTGCTGTTGTAGATACTATCTACAACCATGGTAAGTACCAAGATATCTATAAACCTTGGGTAAATACCAGTTCTTACAACCAACGATTTTTCAACCACCGGTCCGCGATAAAAAAAAAGTACCGATCCCTGTTATATTGGAAAAAAATTATATTTCCAAGATATATTTATTTATTTTTTGTAATTGATACTTTGGTATTGTTATATTTTATTTATATTAATAAATGTTTTTAACGTTTAAATACATTTAATACACTAATTTGCAAGCAAAACTAAAAAAATAAAACATAACTTTTTTATTTTTTGAACCAAAACGCAGTGGTCCGTAATCTTACTCAAAAGTCATCTAGGTGGTCTGTGCAAACGAAAAAGTTAAGAACCACTGCTTACAACCACAACTACTGAATACTGATTATTGATAATGATATCTAGTACCGTGATAATATTAACACAGAATATTCTGTGATATTATTAATATAATTTAACATTACTGATAATACGATAGTCACTATTGTAATTTGTAGTTGGTGTAACGTTTTATTCCAACTCCTTAAACAATTTGAAATTTGACGGTTTTTTTGGTCGTGGAGTTTTAGTTTTTCATTCTGCTTTTAAATTACAGCTGTTTTTATTAGGTAAAGTAATACAACACGTATTTATTTTGATTTTCTCAATGAAATTTTCAATAATTTTTCGAATAGAAATGTGTGTGTTTTTGTGATTTTATTTTTACTGTTCTTCTTCGTTGACTGTAAATAATGTTCAATATTTTTAATCAGTATTGATAATATCTAATACGATATGACTAATTATTTTGATTAATGATCGTTTTGTTTCCAGAATAACTGTAATGGACTCTGACGATGAAATCCCATCATTGGTGACAGCCATCACGTTAAATCCAGTTCCTGTGACAATTATAACTGGTTACTTAGGGTCTGGAAAGACAACTCTTTTAAATTACATACTTACGGAACAACACAATAAAAAAATTGCTGTCATATTGAACGAATTTGGTGAAGGTAAGTCTTTCGTTTACAATTATTTGTTTATTATGCCTACTTAACTAAACATTAATACTCATCTTTAAAATGTTAAAAATATCTTGTATTCATTTTTTCATAATATTTTATTGTGGTTATAATTTTAATTAGCTGTTATTATTTTTTAAAGGTGACACAATGGAAAAATCAATTGCTGTTGGTGAAAAGGGAAATCTTTGTGAAGAATGGCTTGAACTACAAAATGGCTGTTTATGTTGTTCTGTCAAAGATAATGGTGTGAAAGCAATTGAAAACCTCATGTTAAAACGTGGAAAATTTGATTATATATTGTTAGAAACTACAGGATTAGCTGATCCTGGTAACTTAAAATATTTTAAATATGTTGGCAGATGTAAAAAGTATTAAATAACTTTATTCTTTAATATTTTCAGGACCTATTGCAAAATTATTTTGGGTTGATTCTGAACTGGGAAGTGATGTTCATTTAGATGGTTGGTAAATCAAATTTTGTGCATTTATCTAAAAATCTTCTTATGAAATTAATAATAGTTATTTATTATTTATTTCTTAAATTTAACCTATAGGTATACATAATTTATTTAAAATTGATTTTATTTAATATTTATAAAAATTAGAATTTTTTTAAAAATAAAATAAATAAATGTTTCATTGTGAATTGAATGAATCAATTAAAATAAGTTTATACTAAATATTTAATTTGACATTTAATAATTTTATGCTTTATGTTGGTATTTTTTATATTAACATATTGTTTCAATACTTAAATTATCTTATTAGCAAACTATAGGTATGATAAATATTAAGTTATCATTATTTTGCATTACATGGTAGTACCATGATGGTACATAATATTATAAATAATTTTTACTTGGTAAAAAAAAAAAAAAAAAATACTTGAAACTAATGGTGTCTAAGTGAAACTAAATTTCAATTTTATTTTTATTACATATTTAATACAGAAGTATTTAACAATAATTGTAAACCTTTAATCAATATTAAAAATGAATGCATTTAATTGAATTTATTTCTATCAATAATGAATACATACTATTTGTAGCTTAAAGTACTTAAAATAATCTAATTGTATACATTTTTAGGAATAGTGTGTGTCATCGATAGCAAAAACGCCAATAAAGTAAGGTACCTATTTATATAATTCATTACTATATATGAATACAAAAGTTAAATTTAAGTTTTTAACTAAGGCATGAAACATATTAATTTTTGTTTTAATTTATATATCAAAAATGTATTAGTTCAATTATTTATAATGTTATTAAAAAATTAAAATTTATCTTTTCTTTTTACTTAGACACAGTATCTCATGTTTTTACTTGTGCTACTTTACTTGAATCTGTACATATTGATTTATGCAAATGACTTATCTTTAGATTTCAACTGACAACCATATTTATATCAAGTCATATACTTCTGGTATGCGTTATAGAAAACTTGTGCTTTTATTGAATAGATGACTAATTTATAGATTGATACATTAAATAGTAAAATAATATTTATGATTAAATCAAGAACATTTTTTGATTCAATTTCAAATTGTGTATAATACTATAGAATTTATCGTCTAAAACCTCACTTGATAGGGTATTATTAATAGATCTTTTTTTTTTTTTATATACAGGGTACTATTTCTATGAAAAAAAGTCAAACATTGTATTCTAACTTTGTCTTATATATAAATGATCATTAATAATGTTGATACTAATGATTTAAATATCAATGATATTTTGTTCAAATTTTACCAAATCTGACTACTCATAAAGTCATAATATTTTCAATGAAAATATTGTGTAGTAATTTTAAAAAAGGCCTTATATATATATATTATTATGTGTTACCTTTTTCTTCTTTCTGACAATGTTTTCTCTATTGACATCTTGAAGGTAACCGGTAT